CTATCTATCTATCTATCTATCTATCTATCTATCTATCTATCTATCTATCTATCTATCTATCTATCTATCTATCTATCTATCTATCTATATAAAACATTAAAATAATGTATCTTAAAATATACAATTTATTGGAACTAAGCTGGAAAAATAAATATTAAGGTCAATTAAATTATAAAACATGAGGTAAAGTTCTCATTTTTGAATTTATTTGGTGCATTTCAAATGTATTTATTTATTTAAAGGTTCATTTATCTATTTCTGCTTTTGTTCTTAATAATGTCAGTTTCGGTCCTCCATACTGCAGAACTTGGAAGAGTTAGTTCAGTGACTGAGTCAGGTGTGTTGGAGCTGTGGCCCTCGAGGACCATGTTTGCCAACCCCTGACTTAGGCAGCTCCACATTGGCTACCACAGGAGATTCATGGATTTCTCAAACATCAAAGTCAAAGCAACTTGTGTTTGATGAGAATGATGTTTGTAGGCCTTCTCCAGGTCAACATAACACACGTGGACAGTCAAACGCATGGTCCTAACAGCAGATCTGGACAAAAAAAACCCACCCACCTCCTCATGAATCAGCACCTATAAAAGAAACAAGTAAAAAAAAAAAGTGTTTTATAAATTCAGTTTGTTCGTTATAACACCATAACATGTTCTAATTTTATTTAAATGGTGGATTTCAGAGTTTATTGTTTCATTTTTAAAGAATGGTTGTTTCTTCATCCATTTGTTGACTTGCAGGAGTACCAGAAGGAATTTCCAGACATTCCCATTGGGTATTCTGGCCATGAGTCTGGAATCAGTATCTCAGTGGCAGCGGTGGCTCTGGGAGCGAAGGTCATCGAGCGTCACGTAACACTGGACAAAAAAGCCAAGGGAAGTGACCACGCAGCTTCACTGGTGAAGTCTGAACTGGAAGAACTAGTTCGCTCCATCCGACTGGTGGAGATAGCGCTGGGGAGCAACGTCAAGCAGATGTTGCCCTGTGAGAAGCCGTGCCACGACAAGGTCAGTTAAACAGTCCCTGATGGAGAGTTATATAAACTGACTGCAGCGAAAATGATTTTAATTATTGTTTCCTTGTCAGACAGGGGTCCTGCCGATCCTTAAAAAGTCTTAAAAGGCATTGAATTCATCAAACCAAAAATAAGGCCGTATTTAGCCTTAAAATGTCTTAAATCAATTTTTCACAGGTCTTAAAAAGAGTTGGAAAAATATGCGTTGTTCAAAATGGTATGTACGAATAAACAGGATTCAGCTGGGTTTCTTCTTTAAAACTGTATTTTCAATCTTCTGACTCCAATCAGGTGCATTCAGCGCTCAGCAGCACAGGCCTCAGTGTTAAGACCTTGGGCTGAATCAAAACAAACACAGGAGCTCTGCTCTGAGCAGACACTCTGCAAAACACTGACAACTTCTTTCTACTATAAAAATGAGTTGAGCTTATAATGTTCATCCCTTCCTGGTGACACCCCAGAGGTGTTACCTTTTACATCAGACGTCAGAACGTCACTCARTTTTGTTTAGGCTAAGAGAAAGAACACATGATAACACTCAAACTCTTTGTCAGCTTCAACCTTACAGACTGAAATGATCAGAAAGTATAAAATACAAAACTGAATCTAATCAGTTAATCAGTTACAAAATTTCTTCAGAAGGATGATTGTATTTGTCTCAAATATTAAAATAAATGTTAACATTTATTTCATTTTTGAAAAATTATTTACCAAATTTACTGCAGCTAGTTGTTTTGTGCTAAAATAAACATTGATGATTGATTTACATGTTCTGTAAATTGTATTTAAAACAAAGCTGCTGCTGCTGATCATTCTGTTTTCATAAGCAGCCCTCCCAAGGCCAGTACTCTAGGGTAAACACCAGAAAGGTCTAAAAAGGGTTTTTGAAGATGTTTTTGATAAAACAGTTAACTGACTGTTAGTGACTCAGTCTGCATCTGCTAAATCAGATGTCATTTATTATGTACCTCTGTATACCCATGTTAATAGTTTTGTAGTACAAATACGGTACACGTTTTTCTTATATTTTATCGAATTTTGAACATATTGTTTTGGGGCAGGTAAAGAAAAAAAAATCTTGCTGAACCCTGCCCTGATCTAAGTGACCCACCACACGAGTCCGTTTGTGCTTATTTCTGACAAGAATAAGAATAAAAACCATATCTATGCAAATGACAAAAACCACAACACAACAGGTTTAAACTTTGACTTTTCATACCGCCAGATTTGTATTTAAAACTCTAATCTTGTCTCTCGATACGTCCGCCCTTGCAAGCTAAAGAAATAATCTCCCGGTCAGATTGCAATGCATTTTAGGAAAGGATGGGCCGAGAAGGATCCACCGGTCCGGTTCCTCAAATCGGGAGAAATGGAGGACGCATTTGTGGGCTGCAATTGGAGGAGCCTTCAAATTTGGACAGACTTCAGTGCTGTGACCTAATCGGTCTTCAGATTTGGCCTTTGAATGGTGTAGCCCCTTAATTTGGACACAGCCATGGTTTTATTAAGCTGCTTTTAGCTTTTGTGTGCTAGTTTTACATTTAGTTCTTATTTTGCTAGAGTGTTACTACATTAATCTTTGAACAACTAATTTGCTAATTTAAACTTTTAGCTATGTTTTTGCTTTTAGCTATTCTTTTGCTGGTATCTTTTATGCTTAACAATTTATTCTTCAACAAATTTCAGCAAAGTCATGCGGCACTTAACATTTACACAGAATTTTCACAGAAAATATAATTACTCTAGTGTCTTTTATTATTATTATTTATTTATTTTTATTTTTGTAAAACTTGACTTGCCCACGTTTCTTCGTCTTTAGTTGGGAAAGTCCGTGGTGGCCAAGGTGAAGATTCTTAAAGGAACCGTCCTGACTCTGGACATGTTGACAGTGAAGGTGGCCGAACCCATGGGCGTTGCAGCCGAGGACATCTTCCAACTGGTGGGAAAGACGGTGACGGAGGACGTGGAGGAGGACGAGAGCGTCCTTCCAGAGGTGGTGGACAGCTACGGCAAAAAGGCCAAGTGCTGAAAACGAGAGGGATTTAAAATGGTTGCAGGTTCACTGAGGGTTGTGAGGGTAATTTAATTCGGTGATGGTGGGATTTCTGACATGAATCATTAATCATCTGATCACAAAGGTTTCCTTAGTTCTCCTGAGCCAAACATCATGCTTCAAAAGTGGCCTTAACGTGACTTTTTTTGTGGGATTTTGGCTCAAATATGATCAGAGCCTGTTCTCTTAGCAGCTACTGGGCTCTTCACCATCCACTGAGACGTTCCTTTCAAAACGGCCTTGTGTTCTTAAATCTTTTAAAGCGATGCAAAACCAGACAGTTGGGAGCCAAACAGAACTTCATGTCAAACATAGTTACATTTATAACATCTAGTGTGCTATTTTGAAACATTTGTTTTGGCACTGCCATATTTGTGTTTCTGTTTTACTGAAGTTTTCTTGTTGAAGCTCAGGCACTGACAGCATTCTGCCATCAGGAAATGAAAATAAAGAACATTAGTACACCTGCGTGATGTCGGCATTATGATATCTGAGTTAGGAGATGTTCTGGGAAAATAAACCTCATAATAACAGGGTTGCCGCGGGGTAGTAAAAGGTAGTAAATTCAACTCTAGGATTCTTGTATAAACCCTGAATAAAGTGTTGGTCAATACTGGTATCATTTCTGTTGTCATTCAGAGTCACTTGTGTGAAAATGATCATGAATTGATCAATCTAACCTTCGTAAATGGTGGATGTGTATTATGTTATTGGATTTTATAGCAAAATACAAATTATAGATGTGATTTTAGTATCCAAACAAGTAAAACTTAATCAAGCACAACACTTCCTTTTCTAACAGAATTGGTTAATTCTGCCTAAATTGTTAAAATAAGTAAGTAAAGTTTTATTTATAAAGCGCCTTTCACAGAAATATATTCACAAGGTGCTGTACAATGATCATCAACAATGTAAAAATGGTGGAAAGACAAAATAAAACATACTAAAACGTAGTAGAACATAAACAAACAACATAATGAAACATCAAAACAAGAAGAATAAATTCTAAATTGTAACTCGGACACGGTCGAGGCAGAGCATGACAAGGATGAGTGCTATGAATGCAAGACTACAAATCAAATAAGAATGTTGAATAAAAAAGGAGGGTGGGGGCATGAAATTTAAGCCATTTAGACAAACAATAATACAAAAACAGGAAAAAAAAAGGGGGGGAGGGTATTACGCAGTATGTTCAAGACCCATGGTTGGCGAGCAGACAAGGGGTAGGTTGCCATTTGTGGTGAAAGGTTAGCTAAAAGCTTGAGTAAAAAAGTGGTTTTTTAGGTGTTAAAAGAGACGATGTTGTCTAGGGAGTGCAGACTAACAGGGAGTTCATTCTAGGGCCTGGGGGCCACAGAGGAGAAGGCACAGTCACTGCGGGTCTTAAAGCGAGTGAGGGGAACCATAAGGAGATTTTGATCCTGTGAGCGGAGGTCCCGTCTGGGGTTGTAAGGTGAAATGAGGGTTTTAATGTAGTTGGGTGCTTGGCCATGAAGAGCTCTGAAAGTGAGGACCAGGATTTTGAACCTGATTCTGAATTGAACAGGAAGCCAATCGGGGAGATGTAGGGGAATTTGGAGGTTCGAGTTAGGAGTCTTGCTGCCGAGTTTTGGACAAGCTGAAGGCAATTTAACTGTTTCTGGTTTAGGCAGGTGAACAGGCTATTACAATAGTCTATGCAGTTAGAAATGAAGGCGTGAACTACCATTTCCAAGTCTGAAGTGGACAGCAGGGGCCGGAGTTTAGGGATATCACGAAGCTGAAATTAGCATGTGAAAACCAGATTCTTAAGTGTTTATCTAGAGACAGAACTGAGTTAAGATTTACTCTCAGGTTGTGCACATTCTGCTGGACAGTTGAACTCAAAGAGCCGAGATGTTCTTTTATCTTAGGGATTTTATTTTTAGGGGGCCAGGATCAAGGTCTCTGTCTTGCTAAAGTCTAGGAGCAGCAAGTTGTCAGACAGCCACTGGTTAACTTTAGTGACACAATTTATGAGAGAGGTTAGCTTGTGGGTGGTGGGGTCATTAAAGGAACAGTATAACTACAAGTCGTCTGCATAGAAGTGGTAGAAGACGTCTGGGAAATTTTTGATGACCTCAGTCGGGGCGGATGTAGAGCAGGAATAGAAATGGGCCCAGAATAGAACCCTGTGGAACTCTGCAGGAGAGTTTGGTTGAGTCAGAGAGAGATTGGCCTAATAAGACTGAGAAAGAGCGGTCTGAGAGGTATGATTTGAACCAGTCTAGCACCATCCCAGATATCCCTATGTCTTTCAGGTTTCAAAGTAGAATAGTGTGATCGACAGTGTCAAATGCTGAGGACAGGTCCAGTAAGAGGAGGACAGAGTACATGCCTCTATCATAAAACATTAGCAGATCATTTGATACACAGAGGTGGGCAGTCTCTGTAGAGTGAGATCTGCGGAAGCCAGATTGAAAGTGGTCGTAAAGATTATTTACATCCAAGTAGGATGTTAGTTGTACTGAAACAATTTTCTCCAAGACCTTAGGCCAAAATGGTAGCTTTGAAATGGGCTAGTAGTTGTTCAGATCAGATGGGTTTAAAGACTGCTTTTAGAGATAGGTCCCACGACTGCTTTTTTAAAGGATCCTGGGACAAATCAAGATGTAAGAGAGAGGTTTAGCAAGTCCGCAAGTGTGGGTCCTACTACTTCGTAAACAGCTTTTAAGAATCTGTGAGGTAAGATGTCAAGAGGAGAGATGGTTTCAATTTTTGGATTATGGTCCCAAGATTATTCACAGTTACCAGATCAAAAGAAGACCAGGAAGGACTAAGACTGATTTCAGGGCAGGTGGTTAATTGAAATGGAGCATGAAGTGGCTGAATCAAAATGCTGCACCAGATGTTCTCATTTTTGACAACAAAGTGTGTTAGAAAGTTGTTGGGACTGGCAGGAGAACGGGCGGCGAGAGAGGAAACGACCGGAGAAACCAACGTGTCAATGGTGCCGAATAAGGCTCTGGGATCAAAAAGAAAAAATAAGTTGGTCCTCTGGATTTTCAAAAATCTGCATAAATTGTCTAAAACATTATACTGAAGACTGACAGGGCGTTTTCTGCAGTGGTTTCCAAATTTTAAAGCTTCTGGCCCACAAAATAAGAGCTGCAGAAACTTGTGACCCCAGATATCACTGCTTTATATGTAAACAACATGAGCATAATAACTATATAAACCAACCTAATAACTTTCATACGACTTTTATTCTTTTTTTTTTCAATGGTTATGCTGAAAATATTCCATTAACAATTTATTTGCATTTAAATTGGTCTGAAAATCATCTGGAGACCCTCACTTGATGTTTCATGACCCACAGAGGGGTCCCGATCCCAACTATGGGAACAACTGCTTTAGAGTAAATCACTATAAAGTCAGAAAAGATTATAAAACATTATTTAATTCTAAAAATTCTATCAAAAATGACCATATGCAATATTAAGATTTCATTAATATTAAAGGCAATAAACCCACATTTTTCCTCACTCCTTTCTCTCCTGCTGTATTCTATTATTAGAATAGAAATAAATAATTAATATAATAATAAAAATCTGCAGATATGAGTGAAAAACTACATATCAATAAAAAGTAAATATACAAACAAGCATGCTGGGATAAAGGCTGACTAAATTGTGCTTTTTAAAGCTTTTGTGCAGAAAAAGGTGATGCACAGGATTACAGAGGTCTGTGCAGAGAACAGCACAAATATAAACTGTTTGGTTTGTTGGGAACGGCAGTTTACAGTCTAACATCTGCTGGATGGAGCTGTTAGTTTATGATCCTTGAAGCATATGGAAATGGTGTGAAATTGTAAACCTCTTTTAACATAAGAATGATTAAGTTTGTGTTTAAATTTTACTGAAATAAATTATTTACAAAGCTTTAGTATTGAGGATGTAAATATAAAAAACCTGATTCTAGCAAGAATAAAAGTTAAACTGACAAGGATGTTTCTAGAAGTGAGACTGTGTCAGTGTTGAAAAGAGTCAAACTTCAGTTTTAGATGTGTCAGAGCTCAACTCCGTCAGTAAATTATCTGTCTGTTAAAGAAGGACTCAGTGTTAAACAGGAAAGAAAGCCATGTTGTCTGGGAAAATCTCTCACTGTAAAGTTCAGAGTCAGACTTTGTTATCAGTCTGGGAATGTATTAAAGTTTGTTAAAGTAGATATGACCACACCACAACTGTTTCTCTTGTTTTTGTCATCAGCTGCTGTTTCCTGTCATCAAACTGGGGTTAGCTTTATAATGTTGACTGAGTAGGATAATGGCCATTTCAGTTTTCCATCTGTTGCATTCAGGATGAGGGACTATCGCCACATGTCAGAACTTTTAATTTATATGTTTTATTATTTTCTAATCAATCTGCACTTCTGGCCCTTGCCTTCCTACGCAGTTCCGCTCAATTCTAGTTTCCCTTCACTGCTCCGTCTGGGTCTTCTCCCATAGACAAGGATTTCGCTGGCAGATTTTTAGCCGGGCCAATCAGAGAACAGAACGTCAATTTTCTGCGCAGTGTCTGCTTGTAGTTTATTTTACCTGGGCCAATCAGAGAACAGAACGTCAATTTTCTGCGCAGTGTCTGCTTGTAGTTTATTTAACCTGGGCCAATCAGAGAACAGAAGGAGAAGCTTTGAATGACGTCGATGTTCTGCGCAGTGTCTGCTAGTTAATTTAGCATACGGCAGTGGAGGAAGTGAATGAAGCCAGTCTGTGTTGATAAGGCTTCCAAACTAAATTAAAATTGTCTGACAAAGCAGTAGCCCTCATTTACAGTTGTCTCGTTCAGCTCCGTATATTTCTCCTCTAAGTAGGGTTGTTTACAGCGCACGCAACTTCTGATCAGCTTCTTAGCTTAGCCTCCGTCACAGCGACATACGTCGCAGCCAACTGATCCAATCATTTTAAACTTCAGCAGAGACCACGCCTCCTGCAAGAAATCGATTCTCTATGCATCAAGTCCAGACCCTTGTACGATGCAAAGTGAAGGACGAGGGTCTGGTTTAAACCAGGCTAGCACTTCGCTAGTGAAACACACACAAAAATATTTTTTCCCATTTGTGTCTGTTTAGCTTCACTTTAAATATGTCTACAAAACTGCAAAAATACAATTATATGTGGATTATGCTGTACTGTGTGTTCATACAAAAACAAAAAATGAAGCTGCAGTAGTTTCTGATGCCATACTACCAGCGTCTCACCGACTCCAGGACTCCTTTACATTAAAAAAAAGTATATGTTTCTCTCGACTGCCAGCAGATAGCGAGCGACCATCTGTGTTAGTCAATGGAGAGACATTACTGTAGATGTGGTTGAACAGTTTAAAAACCTCGGAGTAGTTTTTGATAATAATCTAAATTTCAAGCAGCATGTAAAGAGAATTTCACTTAAAATTAAACTTAATCTGTCAAACTTCAAACATACTGTATGAGACCTCTACATATTCTAAACATGGTTAATTTTAGGTATCAGGGTTAATGGTTAATTTTAGGTACTAGGGTCAGGGACAGGATGTCTAAAGGGAATAAAGGTAATTTTAGGCTTTGGGGTGGTAGTTTTTGTGCATTTTCTACACTTTCAGTAATTATGACAACAAATTCCGC